CCCCCTGGGAGATTTCTGCCTTGGGGTATCACTGCCTAAAGATAAACTGTTACATTATTTTACACTACTTTTCATCACTTAACCCATCCATCCTCTCCATCAGCATCTTAGTCCTTCCTGGGCCTTCAAGGCAAACAGAAACGATTCATAGTCATTCCCAAACTATAAAAACATCCCAGGTTTTCTTTCCCCAAAAAGCTGCCCTCCAATATTTTGCCCCAAAACAAAGATGATTATCCAAATATCAGAAAGTGACTCCAAAGGAAAGATTCTGAATATGGGAAAAGGGTTGCAGGGGGAGCTTAGCATTTAAGATACTTTTTCATACTAAATATCAAATAATAAAAATATACCTCTGTATTTGAAGAGTCAAGTCATTCAAATATGTAAAGGCAAATCAATTGTTTCCAGCTGTAATCAGCGATAATACCCCAAGTACGTGAGAGCATGAGAAAAGACGACCGGTTAGTTTCCTTTTGAGGTTACATGATAAGCAGCAGCAGTTACGCGGCCTTTTTCTCTTAGAACTCGGCGTCTGACCTCGTGGCAAGAGGAGGCCAGCCCCTCTCTCGGCCCCCTTTATAGTGCTCGCTTTCAGTTCATCCCTCTAGAGAAGGGGGACGGGGCGGAGGGGGTCCGGGGTGGGGGCGGGGGAAGCTAAGGAACTGTTCTCTAAAACACAGAATACGGTCAAACTCTCCCTTGAAAGGATCTGCGTGGGCACGGAGGAGGGGCAGAGGAGGCAGGGAGGGGGCAGCCAGGATTTAGTTCGTGGATTTTTTTTTTTCTGCACCCTGGAAATTCCCAGGCCGAAAACGGTACCAGCTCGAGTCCCGGACATTCCCCTCAAGGGCGGGCTCTAAGACCTGGACTGGAACCACGCAGAGGAATCAGAAACAAATCTATCAACAAAACATTTTTCGTTGGGATGCTTTTTAAAAATATCTCAATAAATCCACGGCCAGGCATTACCGTTGCCTCATTAGATTCACTTTTTCTCCTTATTTCAATTTTTTTTCCTACGGCCTCTGAATGTGTGTGTGTGGCGGGGGCGGGGGGGGGGGTACTTTCTACAACACGGCTTTTGCAATCGGTATCACTATAGTGTGTCTTCGTTGACAAATTACACAGGTCATGGAACCTGCGAGAAATAAAGCAGCTGTCCTATAACGTGAAGATCACGCTACTTTCGGGATGGGGAGGGGGAGCGGAGGTAGAATGGGCCAGTTTAAAGAGAATGAACCACTGCACAATACTGGAAGGATTTTTCCTATGACATTTGGTTTCACTGCGGCTTCTTCTCCTTCCGGGACACTTTCTATTGCAATCTCTGCACTGCTTCCCCCTACTCTCCCCGACCCTGCCCCGGCAGTGTTACGATCTAGCTTTATAATTAGACTGAAAACTCCTGGTCCTCCAGTAGGAACGGACATCTAAAGCTAAATACCAGAAGGTCCTTCTTATAAAAAGCCTAACTTCCTCTCATTTAATGCAGAATATTAAAAAGCAAAATATAACGCACTTAAGTTCACACTTTTTAAAGAAGTTAAAATGTAAGTGCACTTTGAAGAAAAGGTTAGATTGAAGTCGGTGATGTGCATTTTGTGCCCTTCTACTTTCTGTATCCTGTAAAGTTCTGCCCTTGGACTCTTGAACTAGGGTCTCATTTTCAAAGAGGAAAAGAGCGCCTTGGAGATCTTATTTATTGCACACTGCGGAGTCAGGCATTCTAAGTGCACTGAGAATGTACTGTACTTGGGAGGACAGTGCTTAACGCAAGCAAATATACTTAAAGTGGAATTTCTGGCATAAGTGACTAGCTAATGTTAAGAAGCTGAATTTACCTATACCCACAAAGATAACGTTGAACAGTTGGGGTTTTTTTTTGGGGGGGGGGAGACTTTTGTTGTTTCCCTTAGATGTTTCTTTTCCTGTACTTCTCTCAGTAATTGCTATTTCCTTCAATGTGGCCCAGAAACAGGCTCACCTCTGGCATGTGGCACATCGATACATAAAGGCTCGCCATATATATAGTCTTGTCAAGAACCCAGATGTAGCAACCTGAAACTTTATACCTGAAGCCAAGAACTGCCAGTCAATTGGTTTTTAATAAAATGATGGTTGTTCAGAATGGTAAATGGATCATATGAAAACAGCAAAGGTCTCTTTTTTGTATTTGCTAACGAAAGGTTACTTGTAATAGGATGATGTCTTTAAAATATCATTTGCATACAAGGGCCTTATGAATTTTCCCTTTTACAAGTTGCATCAAATCAGTCATTTGAGTTCTAGAGTATAAGGAGATCCACTAGGTGAAATTCATGCTGTCTGGTTCCAAAATAAAGTCCATGTTTCAACCCAATTAAATTGTCTGTAAAGCACAGTTTTAATATTTTACGATAAACCTAAATATCCAACTATAATGGCCAACTTATATAAATAATAACATCATTAGCTGAACTCTTGGGTTGACTTTTACAATTAAGTTATGAAGACTATTTAACATACAAAAATTTTGTATGTTAAGAAAACACAGATACAAATTACATATTCTGTGATTAGAGCTATGTGATTAAAAACAAACAAACCAAAAAAAAAACCCATTAGGAAAATATCCAAAATGGTAATGGTAATGGTCATTGTGTTCAGATCATAGAAGTATGGATCCTGGATTTTACAGTTTTTAAAAATTATGATGAAAACCATCATGGGGATGTAAAGTACAGCATAGGGAATATAGTCAGTAATATTGTAATAACTACATATGGAGTCAGATGGGTACTAGGCTTATTGAGGTGATCACTTCATAAGTTATATAAATGTGTAAACACTGGGTTGTTAACCTGAAACTAATACAATATTGTATGTCAACTGTAATTGAAAGATAAAATTTTTTTAATTGTTTCCCTTTATAATGGAAAATATGTATATAAAACAAACTATTTATTTGGCTGGCATGCTGATATTCACAACCATGTGGTACTGGCCTAAAATAAGTTTTTCAGAAGAAATTAAAATATATTTGTTCTCAGAAATACTTAAATAATATTTCAAATTCTATACTTAGCATTTTTTAAATGTCCACACCAGAGAATGAAAAAGACACATTGGAAGGGGAACAGAAATGACTGAGAATACTTCAAGAAACTGTGTCATCAGATCTTTCGGACCTTATGTCACTAAATCAAAAAATAACAGAAACTGGACAAGATCCCAAGTAATAATTTGCACAAAGCAGCAGCATCACTCCAAAGCCCTGAAGAAGCGGTGTGCGCTCTCTCCTTGCGGCTCTCCCAGAGAGATGATGACTCTGCCTCCTCCAGCAATCCTTGAGGAAATGCTCAAAACTTCTTTCAAAAACAGAAAACTTCTCTTTACAAAAGTCCAACAAGTTGTAGTGAAAAGTGCTCTGGACTCTCATGTACCTTACTTAGTTCGAATCCCAACTCAAGTTCCTCCTCTATAAAATTAAGTTAAATATCACTTATACTATTAGATCATGATCAGAATTCATTGTTATGGGTAAAGCCCCTAAGATGATAGACAAGGAATATTATTTCCTTCGAGTGCGTGCTTTAAGCATATGTCTTCAGCTCTAAAGCCTCCCCAGTTTCTTCACAGGTCCATTTAGGATAACTAAAACTAGGCTATAATCTATTGTGGCTCAAAAAAAGAAGAATACTTACTAAGTGACTCCAAAATAACTTAAACTAACTTAAATTTAGTCAAGTATAATTTATTTTAAGATAGCTAATAGGAATAGCATCTTTTGACTCCCAAGCAGGAAGGACTTGTATGTACCTTATACCTAAATCAAGAACTACCTGTCGTGGAGTTCAATGTGTAACTTTAATTTCTAATTAGATTTTAATTACTAATTTTGGTATGCAATTGAAAATGATATGGTAGGCAGTTAGACAGGCTGAGTAGGAACGAAAGACCAGGTGTGGAAAGTCGCCAGGACAACACTGGGAGGACAAGTACTGAAGGTGAAACTTTGCCCCCAGAGTAAACCCTTCCTTTCCTAGCATATGGCTGGTCATGTGGTTTAGACCCCTTGACCTTTCACATCGCCAGTCATGCTGTTCAGACCCTCCCCTAACCTTTCCTCCCCTGGCATGTCAATGCTCCAGTGGAAGTCCTCATTAGAGGAGGAACAAAGAGGCCAGAGAATAGCCTCATACAACTCCTACACAAGCTCTTGCATCAGCACTCACTTAAGCATTAATTCCTCAAGACAATGAGGTTCTGACCTGCATCAAGTGATCTTAGGAACAAAGCCTTGGGTCTCTTGACCATGGAGACAGAGTTCTGGTCAAACTAGAGGTAACGTCTAGGCCTCAGCTATGTTTCAGCTCCAGGCTCAGAAAAGCAGCAAGGCCAGGTGGGGTGATGCCCTCACTGACCTCAGGACCAACTGCAATAACTAATGACCCCCTGCCTTGGTGCCGACCAATCAAAAGAGACCTTGATCCTGAAAAGACATACCCAGAAAGCTGACAAATATTCTACTGAATCCTTAGAGACTTCCAGACAAAAACCCTCAAGACAAGAACCCAACAAGTCGCGTGCATGCGCAAGCTCTCTCCCCACCCACCCCCAACCCCAGCCCCGAGCATGACCATGCCTCCCCGACCCCATAGGTGCATTGTCTTTGCCTTTCTTTCTCCTAAGGTCCAAGCTCCAAGGGCCCTTCCTTTGTCTCCATTACTTGTTTCCTGAGTTTACGCAGCCCAGCTGGCTCACTTCTTCCATGACTCACTTCTTCTATCTTGGTGACTTTCTAAATAAACTTTCACCTATATTTGAGTTCCTTGGCTTTGAATTCTTTGCTTAGCCAAACTCAAGGATGGAGGTCTAACATCTGGTGCTGTTTCACCATTAACAAAAATAGAAACCACAAAACCAGAAAAGAAACATCTGAAATAGAGGGAAATGATATTTACAGCTTTTTAATAAACAATAACACTCTTTACATAAAAGTCAATTTTTAAAACCCTCAAACTTCAAAACACAAAAATAAATTTCCATGTATAGATTTCACTCTTCCAGTTCCTTAAGTGGTTATTTTAGAGTAAGTATTCATAATGTAAAATTTAGTTGACCTAAGTAAGGAAAACAATCCAATGCAAATGTCAGTTGAACACCAAGATTTCATACACACAGTTTTCATATCTCCGTTTTGCTTCTTTTCTAGGTAAAAGCAGGACATTGTAAATATTCTCACTAGAAATTCTGAGCAAGGACACTGGTCTTTTCAAGTAATTCAGAAAAAGCGGAAGATCAAGGGAAACTCAGCAACATGGCAGTCCTCAATGTGTTATAGGAATCACAATCATAAGCCTCATTAATTCACCTGGCTGAAGAGTGACCAACTGTGCTGTTCATGCAGATGTGCTCAATTTCCTTTGTCAGATAAGCTACAAACACTCCATTGCCAGGCAAATTTGTCCCTTCCATTTAGCTCTCAGCATTTTTCACACTCTTTAGCACAGTAATCTCCCCTCCCAGGAGAAGTCAGTTCAAACACACTTATTTGCATCTTTGGTTACAAGGACAATACAGTGTGTGAATGTTAGTAATGGCTAAGTTGAGACTAGAAAATATCCTACAAGTAGACATAATGTAACCTGCATTTTCTAAGCTCCTTACAAGGCATTGTATAAAACTTTCTGAAACTTTGTACATATCCATGATAGTTATCGCTCCACGGGGCCACCCATAAACCTTCTGTAATGCAAGTGATGGAAAAGGTCACTGAAAGTGATTCCTCCAGCCTCCTCTGGGGCAGGCTAGGTCTCCAAGGGGCACACAAAGGACAAGAACATGTCTAGCTGGTTCTTCACAATAACTTCATCAGGATGTAGCTTGTGGGGTAGATAATGGGCCTGAGTCATCTCCCAGGCATCAACGAGATATACTCCAACCCCTGAGAACATCTTCCGAAGGACAGTGTCCAGCTGAAAGTTGTACCAGTCACTGTTGAAAAGGCTCACCTCAGGCCCCAGCTCTTGGGCATTGGCCGTCCGGATAACTACTACAGTCTTAGGGCTTCGATCCAAGAGCTGGACCACTGCTCGACGGATGTTCCTGAGCCTCCGGATATACACTTCCAAGGGGAAGGTGCTGAAATGAGACCATATAGCAATGGCAACCACGGTGTTCTTCCCTCCCACAATACCATTCAGCTCATTCGCCACATAATGAAGCTCATTACTAAAGACGGTTGTGAAGCGGATGGGTGGACCATGGCAGCGGTACTTGAGCAGGATGTTGTGCTTCTGGTCCACCGCAAGGAAGGGACCCACATTCTTGGGACTGCCCAAGTTAAACTCCACTAAATCTGAAAGGAAGAAAACTTACATTCATAAAAGTGTTCAAATCAAGCACATATATTTTGATGATTCTTTACTTGGTAGCTTCAAAATCAGGTTTTAAAATAAAAGTACAACAAAAAAAGATACAATACAAATGTAAAGGGAATATCTAGGGTCACTGCACTTTGACCCCCTTTGCCTCAATGGACTCTGATTCTAACATAGTTTTTATTTAAGGCATTCTATAATCATGACATTACACATAATAACATCAGTGAGAGATGCTATACCTATGTCTATGCCTCAGAAGCAAAATAATCTGTTTATCTCTGTTAGGTCAAGAAATCTTCCTGTTTGCACCGATTGCTGAATATCTAAAAATCAACTTAACATTTACATGTTATTGTTCTAACAGATAAATATTTCTTCCAGGGCAAGGGCTATAGTTTCTGTTTTTTTAAGAATACATATAGTAATGAAATACCTCTTTTTGCTATAAGCCAAAGAAAGGAGCAACTCTATTCTTTTGACTTTCAATTTCACCCTATGGATGGAAAATCATGTTAACATCTGAGAGAACTTCTAGCTCTGTCAAAGGGATAACAAGGACAGCAGCAGAAGTTAGAATTCCCTTCTCTCCGTCCCCTTTATGTAAGTTGTATTTCAAAGTCAAGCTCCTTTGAGATCATCTGTAGATCCCATAAATCACTGATTCCTTGTTACTACTAAAAAACTGTACAACTCATCACTTAACATGCCCCACAAGGAAAGAGGCCTGTCTCACATTCCTAAATATTCCTATGAGTCGCTTACAGAAAATAGACAAAGTAACTTTTGGCAACCCAATTTAATGAACATTTGCTAAGTACCTATTCAGTGCCAGCCACTACAGTGCTGTAAGCCAGCAATGCTCAGATGAAGAATTCACAGTCCTTGCCCTCAAGGTATTGCCAGTCAATTCTGAAGAAGTAACATCAAACTATAATTGTACTATGATACACTGAGGGTTAAAGCAAAGGTTTCTCTCCTCTGCAGTCTCAGGCTCTTCTTCTAGACTGTCCTAATTCACTACTACTGAGCACTTAACCCCATTTAAACTAACAGCTCAATCTACCATTCTTTCTTTTGATCAAGATCAAACACTGACTCAAAGCTTTATCAGCAAAGGGTATGGTGGAAAACGATCAAGACAATGTGGTCATTGCTATCAAAGGAAATACCAAACTACGTCACTAGAATTAAGAATGAATCAAGCACCTACTGGAAGGCCCAGCTGGTCAACATCAAACCATGCCTAGCATTGCACCACACAAATGATTTCCTTTCTCTTAATTTTTAATTTATGCTTTATCGACTAGAACTCAGCTATGTCTGTTTCAATTTAAAAAAACAAGCATAACAGAAACAAGAATTAACTTTTCACTTTTTGGAGTTATATCTACTTCCTCCTTTCCTTCCAAAAATTAAATTTGAAGCCCCTTTGAAAGCAAGTGTCCTGTCCTGGATCACACAGCTAATCAGTGGTATAAACTTCAACAAGGACCAAGTACTTCCATCGCTATGGCACAACCCCACTATTGATCAAAAACTATCAAACATCTTTCCTGGGTTAGGATACCTCTTTAGTTCTACAGAGAAATAACTTCTTTTTCACTTGATGCCTTTCTCTGGGCACCCAAGCAAGTCCGCTTATTTCAGAGCTGATTTTGTGTGCGCTTGAAAGAGTTATGAAACAAAAAGCAAAGTACCAACCTGGAACAAATGCAGTTAGGTATTCAAACCATTGCCTGATTGTTGAGTCTCCAAATAAATACACCACTTTTTTTTGTAAGCATTCTGTAATGTTGTCGGGGTCATTAAACTGGCGTATCTTAAAGTTCGTAGGCCTCCACTGATCTTTGTAATAATACCCGGAAGGAAAAGTTCCTGAGCCTTGAGATAGTTCTAGGTTGCTAGTTTCTGAAAAGAAAAAGAAAAACATCAGATATTCTGAAATTCTCCTCCAACAAACCACACGTAAAATGTTCCAAGAAACACAATTATGACCCAATATTTGTTAGCCTGATAGCATCTGGATTACATTTCCTGCTGTCACATCTCAAAGAAATTCCAGACTTTCCTCTTCTTACAAAAGGTTCTCCTTTGCACAAAAAAAAACGGGAAGATTTGAAATGGGTGTGAGGGTGTTGGTAAACAGAAGGGGGAAAAGAGACTTTTTTTTTTTAGCATTCCCTTTGATTAAGCATATTTTTATCAAAGCCAGAAATGAAGGCAGGCAAAAACTGAGGAAATGTGTAGATATAAGCACTGCCCAGCATTATCCCAGAATAGAAGTTTCTCATCCAAATGCCTGTGAGGCAAGTTAACAACCCAAATTCATATTTTATATATGTATAGTAATAATCTACTGTTTCTGAGGCTGTTAAAAGCAAAGTTTTAACCTATGGGTCATACAATCACATATTAATTCAGGAAACCACCAGAGAACCAAACTAATGACATGCAGTCTAAATAATTATTCCCCGCATTACAAAAGGTTCAGAAGACTGTTATGCTTAATGAACAATACTAAAAATACATCAGCAGTATATATTCATGGTTGTAGCCTAACTACACATGATAACACAGTGCCAAGACACCTTTCAGAGGAAAGGTCGACACCCTTCTGCTCTAACACCTCCCTTGGAAAACGCCACTGTGGAAACAACATGCTTTACATGCACCAAAACTGACAGGAACTGTTAGTATTTCTTGCAAGTTTACTTTGCACTAGACACTGTTGTAAGCAATTAAATGTATTTTTTTGTAAGATGTTCATGGTAACCCTTTAAAGTAGGTCCGATTATTATCCCTCTACCTTTCAGAACAGTTACGCCACCTGCCCTAGGCCCCCAAGGTGGTAAGTAGCCGAGCGAGGAACTGACGATGCAAGCAGGCGGACCTCAAAGCCCCTGCTCTTAACCACTGCGCTATATCACCTCTCAAAAACAGATGTTTGTAGATGTCAGTCATGTGCTCTTTGGCTTTTTCCTGAAGGTGCGCAGTTACTCATTTCTAACACTTACTCGAATCCACCATCTTCAGAAAACCACCAATCATTTTATGTCACTTCCTTACACACCCCAAGGTTCAAACCTTGATCATAATCCAGTAATTCCGTAATCTCACCTGTTAAACCACAATTAAAAATCCAAATGTTTATATGACTCCTAAATTTTAGTCCCCTTTTTGTGACCATTTTCACCTAATTTGATTCCTCGATATTATCCCTATTACTCAAAATTGTTTTGGTTTTATTCCCTTTAAGAAAGATACCCTATTGGACAGATAATATATATTTCATCTTTTTTCTAAGGCATTTGCTAATTTTTTGCAGGTTGAAGGCCTAAATTGAAAAATAAACAGCATTTCTAAAAGTTTTATTTGGCAAATGTAATTTATTTTTTAAAAGGGGGGGTAGGGTATATTCCTTTTTTGTTGTTACAAGAATTGAGGGGATCAAAATTGCCAATGTGCTGGAGGGGTTTCTGAATCCTGTGCCTTGGAAGTTTACGTATCAGAGTTGCATTCTCATTCAGAACAATCCACATCAACACAGATATTGTTAGATAGGGCTGCTAAGGTAGAGTGACCAGATACACCTCGGACTGGGCTCTATCCAAATATCTATAATTTCCTAACCCATTTGTTGCCCTAAGATTCTTTGAACTTTGAATGAAAGATGAAGTACAGCAATTGCCAGACCTTGTTAGGTACTTAAATATTTATTGGACGAATGAGAGGACGGATGAATGAACAAGAAGAATGAAGGGATAAAGATGACTCAGGCTGCTGGCTAAAAAAGAAACACCGCTTCATTCTCTTAAAATAGAAATGTTATAACCATTTCTATTTAAATGTTAATTATATTTACTACCAGAGTTAAGACAAGCAGAGCAAATCAATTACTGAACCTGAAATTAATTCTTTAAACCTGCAGCCCTAGATGACAGAACATATTGAAATGCATGTACTTTCACTGCCCTCTGCTGGTCAGCTGGGACAAAAACATTTACTGACAGGATTTTAAGCAGTCAAAAGTCAGCATTTCTTGGAATTCAGAATGTATTTTCACGTAAGATAACTGAGATATGAAAGCCTCTTATACCAGCTATATGACCCCTAGTTACTATACATGTGGAATAAAAATAATTTAGAAAATGAAAAATGAGTTACTATGCAATTTTATGGTTATCTTGAATATAGACAGTGAAGAAGTTTACACAGAGGTGGTTGTAAGGGCAGATATAAAGACCTTTATGCAAAACAGAAGGAATAGTTTTAGTTATTCAGAAGTAAGGTCCCTGCTTTTCTAAAATATCTTGGCTTCTCTTTAAAACCCACGCCTTAAATTTTCCTCCAAAGGCTGTCATCCATTCATTACCATAATGAGGGTCATTTGAGCCACAAATGGGACAAAATTAGAGGGAAAAAAAGGTTTAGCCTCCATAAAATTAAGGAGGGGGAATATGTGTGTCCACATGTGTGCACAGTCCCTTAATTTTATGGTCTGGAATTACCCACAAAAGAACAGTAAAGGCCAGGCCCAAGGGGAGTGCATAGTTCATGACAGGAAAGAAAGACAAGACAGAGAAGGGAAAGAGCCAAATAATTCCTTGACCAGGGAACACCATGAGCACAGGGATAGTTGGGGGGCCATCTCAGGGAGGACAGGAGCGAGGGCAGTGTGTGTCAAGCTGTTCCGGCACACTCGGTCAAGCACTGGGGGTATGAGAAGGTCCTAGCTACACAGTTATTATAATAGTTTGAATTTGAATTTACCTTGAATCCCCCCTACGAAATGCTGAGAATTTTTTTCTTTCTATTTTTGTTCCCTAAAAGCTAAGCATTTTAGAGACGGAAGCTAAAAATGCTATATAAGTAGAAATACCACAGATTCAGAGCATGCTGAAAGGGACCTCAGAGAATATAGCTAGTCCAAAAGGTGAAAAAAGCGAGTCACGAGTGCCATGCCAAAGCTTCTCAGACAGTTGTGGAGAACGGTAGTAGTAGAGGGCAGTAGTGTTTACAAAGATATACATTATATTACTGAAACAGTTGTGGAAGTGGGCTTCCTTCCTCCAAAAGGGATGTTAGCTGGAATTTTTACGTAGGGTATGAACCTTTGGATTTTCTAAGTTAATGGGACCTACACCTTGACTTCATTATCTGTAAAATAAGCTTCTAGTTATTATAAAGGGCTGTGAAAATTATCTATAAAATAAGCTTCTAGTTATTGTAAAGGGCTGTGAGAGTGTGGAAGCACATTTCTTAATGGTAAAGGGCTATACTGGAGTGTGGAAAATACTCTTTATGTTCTCAACATCCTATATATTAATCTGGGTGGTAACTTATTAGTTAGTTTTCTATTACTGTGTAACACAGCACCACAAATTTAGTGGCTTAAAAATAAGGTGCATTTATTCCCCACAGCTCTGCAGGTCAAAAACATGGGGTGTAGCACACCTGGGTTCTCTGCTCAGGTCTCACGACTGGAAGTCAGGATGTCAGCAGGCTGTGTTCCTTTCTGAAGCCTCTGGAGGACAATCCACTTCCAAACTCATTCAAGTTGGCTTAATTCAGTACTTTGTGGTTGTAAGGAATTTACTTGCCTTTGCTTTCCTTGTGACTGAGCCTTTCATTTCCTTATCAGCCAGGGAAGGCTGTTCAGCTCCTAGAAGCTGCCTATATTCCTTGCCACGTGGCTTCCATCTTCTGTAAAGCCAGCAATTCAGAATCTCCCGCACATGGAATTCTCACACTTTCAGTCTTTCTTCAGAAAGAAACTAGTCCCTGTTGTGGGGCTTATCTGATTAGATCATATCTACCCAGGATAATCTCTCCATTTTTTTTTAAGTTCAATTTTGTCACATAATACAATTGAAGAGAAGGGATTAGTGAGGGCCTGGATCACTGGGAGTCACCTCAGAAATTTGGCCTACCGCATTTACAAAGACAAGCACAAGTGTAAAACTATATGTACTATACGTTTATGGTCTGTGTGCTCCACTATGTATAAGATATATTTCAATAGATAAACAAAAACAGTAAAGAACTACAAAGATGTTAACATTTATTTGGTTACTATTAAATCTAGTCCTGTCCTAAACTCTCAGTAAACTCCCCCAAATATGAACTCCAGTTTAGTTTATGATGAAGTTCGAAATTATCAAGGTCCCTAGGCCATGAGGTTATTGATAGTCTGGGGACCTCAGTACAGTGCTTATAAAAATTCAACAGTAATTGTGACACTGGGAAAGCCTGTCAGAAACCAGGCCTTTGTCCTTGGTAAGGAAGTCTAGTCAAATTAAAAGTTGTGCTGCTTTGCTTTTAACTGGAACTATACCCATGCATGGGGGTTGCACTGGAGATCTTAAGCGATCCAGCAGACTCTAAATATGTACCTTAAGATAATTTTACCTTATAGAAAAATCATTTAACTAATACATAAGTAACTAAATTTCATAGGGGAAAGAAACGCTCTGAAATATAGGATTCATAAGTGAAGTAATAAAAGGAGAAAGACTGAACCCTTCCAAGACCAGGACAAAAAACAAAGTACAAGATGGGCCTGAAATATCCTGTGGTGCCAGGAAAGAAGTACTAAACAAACAAACAAACAAGAAGCAAAAATTGATGAGAGCCTGTCAAAAGGGCATTGAAACTAGACTGAAAAAGTCCCCAATTGCCAAAATATATGGAATAACAAAAAAATTACTAAATTGAATTATAGCCCCAAAAATGAAATGAACAACCGTAAGTCTATACTGATAATTAAAAAAAGAGGAAAGAAAGGACAACTTTTTCTTACAGAAAAATTCTAATTAACAAATGTCTTAAGAATGATACAAACAGAAAGTCATCATTAGAAAACCATAGAAATGACTGATGAAAATACAAGATTTACTGATGAATACTAAAATTAGTGGGTGAAAGTTTAAACAGAAACAGAATATGTAGTCTCTGCATTATTTTCCTGTGGCTGCTGTAACAAATTACCACAAATTCAGTGGCTTAAAACAACATAAATTTATTCTCTTATCATTCTGGAGGCCAGAAATTCAAAGTCACTGGGCCACATCCAAGGCATCTGCAGAGTCACACTCTCTCTCTGGAGATGTAGGGAAGAATCTGTGTCCTCGTCTGCGCTAGAGCTATACTCTTTAGCTCAAGGTCCCTTCCTCCATATTTAAAGCCAGTAGCATGGCATCTTCAAATCTCTCTCTGCTTCCACCTTCATATTGCCTTCTGTACAAAATCTCCCATTGCCTCCCTCTTAAAAGGAGATTGCATTTAGGGCCCACTCAGATAATCCAGATAATGTCTTCTCATCTCAAGACCCGTAACTTAATCACATGTGCAATGCTTATTTTGCCATAGGTAAAACATTCACAAATTGATGGATGAGGATCTGGGGGGATTATTCAGCCTGCACATTCTCAAAGTAGCTCTCCAGAATATGGAGTACATACAAAGATATAAAGAGTAAGTTTTAAAAATAAAGAAACAAATAAGTTTACAGTGAGGAACCCTGGCATACACCACCTTAATCAAGGGATCAAGGCCAATATCATTAGCAACACGTATCAGTATTGTGTACCCCCTTTAAAGGACACGAAGGTTAACATCATTAGCAATGCACATTGACATCACGTAGCCCCTTAAAAGGATACAACATCATTTCTGTGCTTTTCCTTCCAAAAATGCATAAGCTCATTCTAATCAGAGGACAGCATCAGACAAACCCAAAGTTAGAGATATGCTAAAAAATATCTAACCAATGCTCTTCGAAAGGGCGAAGGTCGTGAAAGGTACTGAAAGACTGAGGAACTGTCACAGAGATAAGACTAAGGAAACATGGCAAAGATGTGGGATCCTGCACTGGATTCTGCAAAAGAAATAGGAAATTAGCAGAAAAACTGACAAAATCCAAATAAATGCTATAGTTTAGTTAATAATATTGTAGTGATGTGAAATTCTTAGTTTTGGTAAGTGTCCTGTGGTTATTTAAGATGTTAGCATAAGTGAAGCTGAGTAAAGGCTTTATGGGAATTCTATTTCTGTAGCTCTTAAATCTAAAATTACCTGAAAAAAAAAAAACAAACAAAAACACCACCATAAAAGAGAATGAAGGAATGAAAGGAGGGAAGGGGGGACAGAATGAGTACTTCATTTAGGATCTTTGAGTAACCCTTGCTGGGGGCACTCATATCAACAGGGTGAACTTCAGTGAAGTTCTGCCAAACTGAGCTTCCATATTATATACAGGAGTGAGTAAACGTAGGTTTACAGTTATGAGTATGTGAAACAGTTTATTCTTTTATTACCATTTATTATTGTATTATTTATATGTTGTCTTCTTATTAATATTATTATTGTATATCCTTCCTTCTGATTTCTCTTTTACGTAATGACAGCTGGTAATTTAACCTACTTTTGCCCACCCTTGTACAGCTACTGCCCTTTTCTTTCCAATTATGAATGGTACCTGTCCCAAGACGCTTTTTTTAAAGCCAGGCTATTCTGTTCCTACTGATTCATGGTTGCTTTCTTCCTCTAAAAACCCATCAAAAGCCTCACTAGTTCCTGAATCTGCCTTCTTCCTAAACACAATCATACATCACAAACCCACAATCACTTCTGCGATGAAATTCAAGACCTGTCAGAGGCAAGTAAACCATCCAAAGCTCCTTCCACTGACCATCCCACTGGATGCCCAGAGACACCACAAGGAGGACAATCCAAATAGCAATGTCTGTGGGAGAGAAGGCCGGACGCAGCAGTGGGACAGGGCTTCCTGAGGTATCAAAGATGAGGGAGTGTGAGGAGTGCAGTACTACTGGAGGTAACACGTCTGCTAACATCTCGGCTGTGGGATTGTGGGCAATAAAAGATAAGTAATTGCCATTAATTATGTTTCACATGTGTATCTTCTGAAATTAGTAATTCACTGGGTTCAAGTAAATAAAACATATCTCTTCATTCAGAAAAGACTGGAATTTCTGTGGTACATGACAGAGGCCAGCGGAGAGACAGACTGGCAGGGTTCTGCCTGCCCCTGGAGCACAGACAGGTGTTATTTAGCCCACACAGTATTTTAAAAGTTCTAAACTGGAAGTCAATGTTTGGAAACCTGGAGATATATTTAAAAATTTCCGGTTTTTCATGGAAAAAAATCTAAAGATCTTGCCAAACTGGGTCTATATTTCTTCATGGCAACGATGCAGCAGAAACCGAGGCTGCCCCCAACCCCTTTAGAGGGTCCTTGCTCTTCAGTTCCTTCTCCACCACTCACACAAGATATGCATATGGCTAATAACCACCCTGCTGGATTCAAGTCTGTTATCTACCTAGTCCCTGTGGCATTAGTGTTTGCAATATCTGCTGTGTGTGACAACATATATGCTTTCAACACTAAAATGACATTGCTTCTATCTGCACTTGATCTTAACCAAAAGGCCAAGAAGCAATTGCCTGCCACCTGTATAAGCCTCCATAATAATGTGCATCCTTTCTTTCTACTAAAAGTCGCTATAGCTAATTATATCTATGTTGCAAAATCACAACACATACATTAACTCTTCTCAATTTCACTCTTTTAAGTAATACCCTATATGCCAATGGATCAGAGCCACCTGGAAGGTTTGTGAAAACACACACTGCTGTGCCCACCACCCAGAGTTTCTGATTCAGTGGTCTGCGGTAGGGCCCAAGAGTCTGCGGCTGTAGCAAGTCCCCCAGTAATGCTGATACCGCCAGTCCAGAGACTACACTTTGAGAACAACTCTCTTTCACTAACAGTTTTTTTTATTTAAAAAATTCCTATAACAATTTTACACTCATTTCTTGAACATAGCTAGAGCAGTGATATCCCAAGGAATTTTCTGTGATGATGAATACATTCTTTGCAAAATGTTATCCAACATGGTAGCCACTAGCCACATGTGGCTATTGAGCATGTGTGACTAATGAATTGAATTTTTAATTTTATTTAATTTTAATTCATTTTAATTTAAATAGTCACATATGACTAATAGCTACCATAAAGGGCAGAACAGCTCTGAAGGCTCTTGAAGAGCCAAAGAGCAAGGGTAGTGGGGGAAGAAAACAACTTTTATATGAGCCTAAACAGCAAAACCCTTACACTCACAAGATCTGATTTATTTTAATCTAACAGCTCTTTCACTATTTTCAGTTGTGCTCAGAAGTAACCATGCCATATTAAAGGGAAAACAGGGTTTTATAACATCAGTGAAACTTCAGAGCCTCCACCCACTTACCAAGAAAACCAACAAATCATGGAGCTCATTCCTTTTTACCTTTCATTCTCCTGGGAATTACAGTCACCCAATCAGGTCCACTGGAGTTGACTGGCATTTTGATATTGACACCACTTTAAGAAGAATAAAAAGAGTACAGGCTTAGATTCAGGAACACTTTATTTTTCAATATGTATCTTTACAAATAAAAAAATGGACCTGATTTCACAAAGCCTCATTAAAATGAAATGTTCTCACAAATATTAATCAAAGCAATTAATTATTAACAACTAGCTCTCTTAAAATAAGCAGGTCATATAATCTGAATAGGAATTAAAGAGCTTAATTTTTCACTGCTTAGCCCTTAATCCAAATTCCAAAATGACAAATTCTGGTTTGAACTGCTTACGCCTCTTGGACTGGGAGAATGGTTCAGGCTGATGAGAGGATCTATTTTGTCACTATTTAGTATTCACACTGCAAGTCTATGCAGCATTAAGTCCCATGTCAGATTCCTTAGGCCTCAACCGGAACTAAGACGAGTCCTACTGTAGAGAGCTGTTTGCAGATACAAGCCCATGCAGTACTTTGTTCATCACTGCTGCGACTCCTTTGTGTCCGTTCCCCTCACTAAAACATAGACTCCTTGAAGACATGGATTGTGTCTCACTTACCTTTTGTTTTCTGTACTTACTAGCACAAGCCCTGGACTAGAGTCTGTGCTTGAAAAGTAGTTGATGGAGGGCTGTGTGAAAAAGTGGGGGAGACTGGAGCCCACGAGAAGAATACTAAAAACTCAGTGAACTATACCAGCAACTGGGTCACAAATAATTAGGCCTCTTACATCAAAAACAAACAAACAGATAAATAAATAAAATGCTAACTTTCCAAAATCTTGATATGGGAACTTGCAGTCATGATTTTTTGTCTCATCAGAAGTCAATTCCAAAAATATTTGTCTTTAAATAATTCTTGAACTTTACTGTATGCCAGGCACTCTTAGATGCTAGGGATATAATAGCAAACAAAATGCCATAGCACCTCCTTTTTTAGAGAGAGACAAAAAAAAATCAAGGAAGGAAGTATAGGGGGCTACATTAGACTTTAAAAAATTCATAGTTAAATAAATGACACTAAAGAATGCACATGACTTTTAAAAGAGCACATATAAACTGCTTTTGTGAGTTTGGAGGATTAAGGTAAGGAAACAAAGAAAACTTCACTGCTGCAATTTGCCTGTGAAAATGTTTAACCTCACTCTAGTCACTCAAACAACAAAGCAACAATTCCAAATTAAGTGACATTCTATAAAATTATGACATCAAAATTCTTAACACTGTAAAAACCAAAATGAGCTAGATACCTCTTCTGGGTTAAAGGAGATTAAAGAGATAACTAAATACATTGTGTGTGAATACAGAGTCAATTAGTTAAAGTAAAAAAGGTAGTTAAAAATGGTATTATTGGGACCACTGGAGAAACTTGAATACAGATTGCATATTAAATAATAATTTTGTATCAATGATAAATGTCCAAAGCATGGTAATTGTGTTACGGTTATATGTTGGAGAAAGCCCATGTTCCTAGGAGATGCATACTCATGGGGCTCAGTGCCGTGATGTCTACAACTTACTTCCAAATGGTCTGGGGATGTGGGAAATTACACACAGACACACACATATATGCACACATACAGAGAAAAAGCAAGTTAAAGATATACAGGTACTCATTGTTTTATTTGTGCAGAATGTCTAAAGATTTGAAGTGTTTTTAATACAAAGTTAGGGAAAAAAAAGTATAGAAGATGGAGGCATAGGTAGACACGGATGACCTCCTCGCACTACCACAGAAAAAATTGCAACTAGACTACAAAACAGGCATCACACAGAACTGTCAGAAAATTGAGCTCTATGGAAGTCCAACAACCAAGGACTTTAAGAAGCCACATTCACCCAGATGGGTACGAAGGGTGGAAATGCGGAGACGTGTGCAGAGGCGTAGAGATGCAGAGAGGAGAAACGGGCAGTCCCACACCCATGTGTGGTGAATAAAAATGGAAGGGAATACCTTGGGAGCAAGGTATTCCAGCCCCGCACCAGACCATCCAGCCCAGGGTTCCAATACCAGGAAGATAAGTCTCCATGACTTCTGGCTGTAAAAACCACTGGGGGTTGGGACAGCCGAAGAAAGTGAAGGATTCTCAGGAGTCTACTCTTAAAGGGCATGCAATGGACTTAGTACTTACAGACACACTCTCTCTGGGCTTCAGCACCAGGGCTACAGCTAGAAGGGCACCAGTGGCACATGGGGAGAAAGTGAAGTGTCTGGTATCAGGGCAAGTGCCGAGAGAGAGCTTCCTCCCGGATAAAATTCCAGAGGCCAGACAACAGCATTGTCCCCTCTTGGAGTCCTCCCCCACACAAAGCCACAGAGCAGCAGCATGGGTTGCCCCGCCCTGGCCATTATCTAAGGCTCCAGACCATCCTACTTACAGGTGCGCTTTTCTACAATACATCATGCTACTAAGACAGGGAGTCAAAGCAGCTCTACCTAGTACACAAAAACAAACACAGGGAAGCTGCCAAATGAGGAGACAAATAAATATGGCCCAACTGAAAGAAGAGAACAAAACTCCAGAAAAGAACTGAATAAAATGAAGATAAGCAATCTATCAATGCAGAGCTCAAGACAGTGGTTATTAGAATGCTCAAGGAACTCACTGGGTACTTCAACAACATAAAAAAAGGCCAAAGCAGAAATGAAAGTTACACTAAGTGAAATAAGGAAAAATTTACAGGGAACGAACCAAGAAGTGGATGAAGTCTAGAATCAAATCAATGATTTCGAACATAAGAAAGAAAAAAACATTCGATCAGAACAGGAAGAATAAAAAAGACTTCAAAAAAATGAGGACTGGCTAAGGAACCTATGGTACCTCTTCAAATGTACCAACTTTTACATCATACGGGTGCTGGAAGGAGAAGAGACAGAGCAAGAAACTAAAAACTTACTTTTTGAAAAAATAATGAAAAAAAAAACTTCCCTAATTTGGTGAAGGAAATAGACATACAAGTACAGGAAGCACAGAGAGTCCCAACGAAGATGGACACAAAGAAGACCATACCAAGACACATCATAATTAAAATGCAAAAGGTTAAAGATAAAGAGAAAATTTTAAAAGCAGCAAGAGAAAAGAAGTTATTTACATACAAGGGGTTCCCATAAGATTGTCAGCTGATTTCTCAAAAGAAACTTTGCAGCCTAGACAGGAATGGCAAGAAGTATTCAAAGTGATAAAATGCAAGGACCTACAACCTCGATTATTCTATCTAGCAAAGCTATCTTAGAATGGAAGGGCAGATAAAGTGCTTCCCAGACGAGGTTAAGCTAAAAGAGTTCATCATCACCAATCCATTATTATATGAAATGTTAAAGGGACTTACTTAAGAAAAAGAAGATCAAAATTATGAATATTAACATGACAATAAAGGCATAATTATCAACAACTGAATCCAGAAAACTAAGCAAACAAGCAAAACAGGAACAGAATCATAGGTATGGAGATCATCTGGAAGGTTATCAGTAGGAAGGGGAAGGATGAGAATGGGAGAAAAGATGCAGGGATTAAGAAGTACAAATTGGTAGGTACAAAAGAGCCAAAGAACTTATATGCATGACCATGGACATGAACTAAGGGGGAGATTGCTGGAGGAAATGAGGGGTACCAGTAGAGGGGGGTAAAGGGGGAAAGTTAGGAAAACTGTAATAGCATAATCAATAAAATATATTTCATAAAAAGAAAAAAGTATAAATCATGCTAAAATAAAGGGAAGCTTTTCATGTGATAAGCTCATTCTTTCAAAAGGTCTTCCCTTGTATTAATAGGACCTTTTAAGCAAAGTGCTGTTGTTCTTTCCAAAACCAACACTTTTTTTCCTTAAAAGTAAAATACAAAGACTAGATCACCTTATTTACCCATCATTTAGGGACACAAAGACCAAAACTAAGCTTCTTGATCCTTTCTGAATTAAGCAACACTGTGAACCACCAAGAAAAGAGATAAAAATGGGTATCAGCTCTACATATTCAGGCCATTAGCTCAAAACAGTATACCTACAGACCCTTCAAGTGATCAAATTCAAACTCTTTCTTTTTCTTTTCAGTTGGCCTAATACAAAGTTTCAGAATTTTAAGAGTATACAATGCAAAAAATAAAATCAGTATCAGGACTCTGTCAAATGTTTGTTCCAAAAACTTATTCCACCTCATATACTGTTTCATCAGCCAAGTTCCAGATAAGTAATTTCTTAATGATTCTAGTACAAAGTGCCATCAGCCAGCCTCATCCAGGATACGCAGGTAAGGGCAGGGACAGACATTATTTTATCCTTCTAGATTCACAGGTGTTTTTTGGTTTTAGTAGAAGGACTGGTGTTAGACATATTTTTACTTTTACACTAATTTTATTCACTGACCTTTACCCCACTTTGAATCTGAATAAATTACAAGCTGTACTTCCTCCTCTGCTAGGCCACTAAGTGAACTGACAAAACAACTCATAACTGAGCAGTCTTCATACATAGACAAAAAGTTCACAGAAATAAAATAATTTGCTCATAGTCATCAATAAATAGCATGTCTTAGATAGAACACAGGATTAAAACTAAATCTAAAGTCCTTTTGTATTAATCCATACAAAAAACTAGGCAGTCTTCTAAAAGACAGTACAGTAATACAATGAGCAGTGCTCCCCCTGCTGGCCTTCTAAAAGCATGGCAAGAGTCCACCAACAGTTCAGGCGTAGGTAAACTGTTAGGAGCAAAGCTGACTCCAGAACTGAAAAATCAAAGGGTTTTATTTCAGAAGTTCCTGTAGGCCACATACCTTGTGGTAGAGAGTCTTCCCCCACCAAGTAATGATTGGACATAAAATATAAAAATTTTCAGGGTGCCCATTAGTATTCAACAAAAATATCTCTCGATCAAGGAATGTTTAAAAAGTATATATTCACTTTTAAAAACTTTAAAAATTTTTACATTCTTTCAAATAATTGTACTTTTGATCATGTAGCTTTTATAACTTTTTAAATCTTAAGAATATTATTTTAATTCAGAATTATATGGAATGTTGAGAAAACAGAAATTTTAATTCATACTGATTTCCATGCATTGCATTGTGTACATTAGTAAACATATTGATCATTATGTTGACAAAGTTTTATACTTACATTCAAGAATAGAAAACCATTAACTTAAAATATATAGTTTGCTGTGGTGTTCCTGGCTTCCCATGCTTATCAATATAAGCCAGAAATGCTGCTATATTCATTGTCTTTTTCCCTCAATAAATGTATATATGACTTTTAACAACTATGTCTAATTCAGTTTATCAGACATGAAACTAAAACACTGGCCTGACTACAAGACCTTTTACCAGCCCTGTTCTTGGATGATTTTTTAATCTGTTCTATGAATAAATGGTTTTGCTTATACAGCTATAGATGTGTTACATAGTTCTGAAATAAAAAATAGATAATGAGGGCAAAAAGTGAAAATTCAAGGGGAAAAGGTCTTTAATTTGAACTTAAGTAAACACAAAGCTTCACTTTTAAAAAACTAATCACAAAACATAAATCTGTATTTTCTTACCACCTCTCCTCAACTGGGTCAAGTTCAGAGAGATATAAGTAGCACATAATCAAAACAAGAAAGTCTCCTAAACATAAAAATGTCTCCTAAATAGGACAAAAACATTGAAAAGGAACGCTTGAATTACCCCCCAAAACAGGGAGCACATACCTCTGGAAGAAAGCAGCCTCTGCAGTAGTTAGGAGGCCCTTCAGGTATCCACCTTTGAAATGGTTAATTCTGCTGCTGCAAGGGAGCTTCTTTGGTTTGAAGCAGAACCAGGGTTCTCCAGTATAGAGATCTGTAAAGTTACAGAGGGGAAGACTCCTAGGAAGACACAAGTTGCACTCAGTAGTTTCAGAAATTCTTCCTGAACGAAAGAGACTCTTGAAATAGACCCTGTCTGGTTTTTCTTCCTGTAAGTGATGAAGAACTCTGATCCCTTCACTGGGGTGGACCAGAGATATGGACACTTTAACTTTGCCTGGCCATAGCAAAGTGAAAAAGACCTTGTAAAACCCATTCCGGTAGTCTACCACTCTGCCCACAGCCCCTGCCTGCAGCTCAGGGGAGTGAATTCTGGCCTGCAGGTAGTCTCCACCATACTTCTTGGGCTTTCTTTGAAAATCCTGTATGTGAACCAGCACTTCTAGCTGGCTTCCCACCTTGAAGAAGGCTGCAGAGTTCAAGATGACAAAGTAGCTGGAAGACGGGTCACTGCTCTTCAAAAAGGGAACAGGGCCCACATCAGGCACTTGCCACTGTAAGGCAGCCAGCAAGGAGTCCTCCTCCATGCGCTCCTGGCTGGACAGAGTCTGGTGCTCATAGCCACAGTAGGGATTCCGGCCAGTACCTATTACCTGGGATGAAACAAACTGTCCGCTACTGTCGATAAATGTGGCCGAGACAGTCTCATGGTCCAAGTACTAAAAAGAAAAACAGAAAAACAGAAACCACGGCTACAATCAATCTCCTTATATTCAACCAAATAAATCCCTGCTTCAGTTTAAATTTTAATGTAACTACTTGGGGCAACACTTTCAAAAACCAAATCTCACTAGTTTTACAAGGCTATATATGTAAAACAATAGTCATAGAGGGATCCCCACACTTTTATGAAATTTACTTCCAGGAGCTCAGTCAGGTTCCCATAGTAAATCTTGGAGGAAAATCACTTTGTGCTTCCTGTGGAAGTGAAAAGGTATCATTCTGAAATGTACCAGAGCATTCTGTTCTTCTTAACAAGGCCTGACCTCAAGAGAAAGTATTCCAACAGAGGCTAACTCATTGAGGTTTTATCAGAGCCTAAACAAACTGAGATAAGGGATATACCCAACTTCAGCCTATCCTAACCATTCCGTCTAACTTCAGGGGTGGGGGAGGCCTAAGAAGCACTTTTGAAGGTCACAGCCCAGGAACACATGCTCACTGAGGGACTGGGGCTTAATCACAGGACTATAAAGTGCTTCACCTCCCCTACACCTTACCACCACACCACAGGAAGGCTATTTATGGGAGTTCCTTTTACCGAGCACATCATGTGCAGCTTTCAACAAAAAATTACAAAACATACTAAAAGGCAAAAACACAGTATGAAAACAAAACAAGTATCAGAATAGACTGAGTTACAGAAATGATGTTGGAATAATCAGATCAGGAATTTAAAACAACTGTGATTAATATGCTAAGGGCTTTAAAGGAAAAATCAGACAGTGTGCAAAAACAGATGGGCAACAGAAAGAGAGAGGGAAATTCCAAGAAAGGATCAAAAAGAAATGCTAGACAGAGCAGAGAAAATTTTTAGGGCATGGAAAATACTCTGTATGACATTATAATCATGGACAGATGTCATTATCATTTGTCCAAACCCACAGAATATACAACCAAGCGTGGACTCTAAGGTAAACAATAGACTCTGGATGATTATAATGCATCAATGCATTTCATCCTTGGGAAAAAAAAATGATGATAATAATACTGGGAGAGGCTATGCATTTACTGTGGCAGGGAGCATATGGAAAATATCTGTAATCTTTCTGTAGTAGAAACCCTGCCAATTGCTTTTTCTTTTTTATAATGCAAGTGCCTGACTTCGACTGCCCAAGCATCCATTTCAAAGAGGCACCTACTTCAAAGATGGCTATTTAAAAAAAAGAACAGACACACACGTATTGCCAAGCCATACCACTAGATAAAGAGCCAAGCAGGTCTGTTCCTTCTTTGTTTTATGGACCTTTGATTTAGAGAACTATTTGGGCCACTCCTTTTTCTCTCCCCATGTTTTAAATTCTCACTCATGTCCTAACTTCACCAATAAAAGTGAACCCATGAAATCCCTGGCCCCCACCCTGAACTCCAATAAAAATAGAACCCCACATCCATAGTCCTTCACTCTATCCACAACCTCTGCAGTGTACCCTCTGGGACCTATGAGCGACAAACCTTGTTCTCTTTTTCAGAGTTCCCAGATGATTATTGTTGAGTGTGTCCTGTGATCATAATAAGAACTACAATGACCAGTCCAGACAGGACTGTGGTTATCAAAGACTGAGACTAGCAGAGAACACTTCTCTCAATTTTGTTGTAAACATAAAACTTCTCTAATAATAAAGTCTTTAAAATAAAAATTAAAAAACTAAGAGAAATGTCAAAAATTGAAAAGACTGTAAAAGAAATGAAGAATTCAGCTGAAGAAAGAATCTCTGAGCTTGAGGCTATGTCCACAGAAACCTCCAAAACTAAAAAGCAAAGAGTAAAAAGGGGAACCCAATATGCAAGAGCTGTAGGAGCAAATCACACACACATACACACATTACACTGGAAATTGTTACATAAGCTTTCTCGTGCCTAACCCAGGAAGCTGCAACATACATAATGCAATGAGTTAAACTGTACGGGGGCAAAAGACAAATAAACAGTAATAACAAAGCAAAATCAAAAATTACTCTCTTCAATAGCTAATATTGCCTGTTACAAACCACTTAAATAAGACTCAGGCTCCCCATCTATGCCAAACCACTTCAAAATACTATACAAGATAAAACTAATCGTCTACAAGGTAAAAATACCCTCAAAATACAAGATTTTTAAAATGATCTTCTTAGAACCTATATTGTTTTTTCATTTTCTTCCACAAAACTTTTACTTATGAAATTTGAAGTATAATAATAACTGAGTATAATTTTTAATACAGATCTAATAACGAGAAGAATGGGGAGAATACATTAATGTTTCCTATCTATTGCAAATGTTCATCTTTATGAACTATTTTTACCTCTTGAGCTATACCAAAACAGGTGATAGGCCAGATTTTACACTTACATGCAGATATCTTCAACTGAAAGAATCTCATTATTTCATGCAAATTGGAATGAAAAAAAAAAAGCTGGAGTAGTAATACTTATATCAGACAAAACAGACTTTAACAACGAAGGCTATAATAGACAAAAGAAATTTCATAATGATAAAGAAATCGATCCAACAAGAAGATATAACCCTTGTAAACATTTATGTACCCAAAATAAAAGCACCTAAATATATAAAGCAAATCATGACGGACAGTAATACAATTATAGCAGGGTACTTTAATACTCCATTGTTATCAATGGGTAGATCTTCCAGACAGAAAATAAACATGAAAACAGTGCTCTTAAATTACACATTAGATCAGGTGGATTTAATTGAGATTTTTAGAGCATTTCACCTCAAAGCAACAGAATATACACTCCTTTCAAGTGCACATGGAATATTTTCCAGGATAGACCACATGTTAGGCCACAAAACAAGTCTCAATATATCTTAGAAGACTGAAATCATATCAAGCATTTTCTCTGACCATAATAGTATAAAACTAGAAATAATCACAAGAAAACTGAAAAACACAAACACATGAAAGCTAAATAACATGTTACTAAACAATGAATGGGTTAACAATGAGATTAAAAAAAAATCAAAAGGTATCAAGAGACAAATGAAAATGAGAACATGAAACCCAAAATATGTAAGACACAGCTAAAGCAGTCCTAAGAAAAAAAATTCATAGCAATACAAGCCTACTTCAAGAAACATGAAAAACTTCAAATAATCTACATTTACACCTAAAGAAACTAGAAAAAAGAACAACAAACTAAGCCCAAAGTGAGCAGAAGGAAGGATATAATAAAGATAAGAGCTGAAGCAAACAAAATAGTCTTAAAAAAGAAAAATACAAGAGATTAATGAAACCATGAGCTGGTCAAACCGATTGAAGATCTTGGGAATCTCACATGCGGCTTGCTTTCTGAGTTAGAAGTTTCAGTAACTCTGAAGGCATGGGCTGGGCATTCTGGCACAAACAGCAAAAGGAGCAAATGGCCCTTGGCTTTTGGTGCCAACTATAGCAAGGGGCAGAGATCAGATACAGTTCCATAAAACAGTCAGTTACAGTACAAATATCCATTCAAATCAAGGGTGGATAGAAAGGTTATTTATAAGACCCACTTCAGCTGTTGCCCAAACCTCAGCATGCAGAAATGGCATGCATATTTACAACAGCACAGTGTTCTCTCCACAAGTCCCAAGGACTATGAGTTACACGTCATTCTAGGGCCAATACATTCTAGTGGCCAGTAACAAGGCCACTACAGCTCCTACTGCACAGCGCACCCCCCCACAAAAAAAAAGAGATGCCCTCACCAATGAAAGGAGATCTAACCCCATCCTCCAAAAAGCATGGTATTTTTCTTTATTATATTTTACTGATTATGCTATTACAGTTGTCCCAATTTTCCCCCTTTCCCCGCCTCCACCCAGCACCACCCACTCCCTCAGTCAACGCCCACACCATTGGTCATGCTCATGAGTCATGCATGTAAGTTCTTTGGCTACTCCAATTCCTGTACTGTACTTTACATATCCATGGCTATTGGGTATCTCCCTATTTGTACTTCTTAATCCCCTTACCTCTTTACCCATTCCCCCACATACCCCTCCCATCTGGCAACCATCAAAACACTCTCCATATCCATGATTCTTCTGTCTCTGTTCTTCTTGTTTCCTTAGTTTTTTGGTTTTTGTTGTTTTGTTTTTTTTTAAATTCAATTGTTGAGCCCTGACTGGTGTGGCTCAGTGGATTGAGCGCCAGCCTGTGAACCAAAAGCTCGCCAGTTCAATTCCCAGTCAGGGCTCAATTCTAGGTTATGGGCCAAGAGGCAACCCATCAATGTTTCTCTCACACATCAATGTTTCTCTACCTCTTTCTCCCTTCCATTCTCTCTAAAAATAAGTAAGTAAAATCTTTCCAAAAAAGATTCAATTGTTGATAGATACGTATTTATTGCTACTTTATTTTTCATAGTTTTGATCTCCTTCATCTTAAATAAGTCCCTTTAACATTTCATATAATAATGGTTTGGTGATGATGGATTCCTTTAGCTTTGTCTTGTCTGTGGTGCTCTTAATCTGCCCTTTGATTCTAAATGATAACTTTGCTGGGTAGAGTAATCTTGGCTATAGGTCCCTGCTTTTCACAACTTTGAATATTTCTTGCCAGTCTCTTCTAGCCTGCAAAATTTCTTTTTGAGAAATCAGCTGATAGTTTTATGGGAAATCCCTACAGGTAACTAACTTTTTTCTCTTGCTGCTTTTCATATTCTCTCATCTTTAGCCTTTGGCATCTTAATTATGATATGTCTTGGTGTGAGCTTCTGTGTGTCCTCCTTGTCTGGGACTCCCTGTGCTTCCTAAATTTGCATATCTATTTCCTTCACCAAATTAGGGGAATTTTATTTTTTCAAATAGATTTCCAATTTCTTGCTCTCTCTCTTCTCCTTCAGACACCCCTATGATGTGCAAGTTGGTATGTTTGAAGTTGTCCTTATTTATTTTTGGATTCTTCTTCTTGCTATTCTGATTGTTTTTGCTTCCTTATTTTCCAAAGTGCTGATCT